TTTTTTGGGGAGAACGTGTCTTAGTGAGTATGGAAGACCAGATATTTTCAGGTTTGAACAAGGCAGAGGGACGCAGGTGGGGTGGAGGGGAGATGCAATAGAATAGATATAAGTAGGCTCTGCCATAGGGCGAAAATAGATGGAATTCCTCTTTATGTTTACTAAAAAATTGTTATCATAAATACCCCAGCAATGCGAGGTTATTCAGCTAGTATATATATATATATATATATATATATATATATATATATCGATAGTCGATATCATAAACAGGGGCTACATGATTACAGCATACTTCGTATTTGCATTAAATTTTACTACGAAGATATAAGGTCATTTTTTAATGGAACCCTATTCTAAATTTTAGTGTATCTGAGTCTTCCTTGAAGAAAGTCATCTTTCGCTACAATTAGTATTGAGATGTTTCGACATCTCACGTGTACTAAATGTCATAAAATCACGCACTCCGAAGCTCTCCGCACCTGCATCACCCCATCTCATTAGCTATGTACAGCTTCCGGCTGACGCGAAGACTCACAAAACACCACAAAGGGCGACAGCATCGCTCTTACAAAACCACCTTCCCACTCGCAACAAGGATTCCGAAGACACACCTCTCTGCGACTCCCACCCCTAAAAGCAAGGAAGCCTCTTCACCTTCGTCTATCAGTGATCCGCGCACTTGGCACCCGCGACGGCGTGAAAACTGGGATTATCTTTGTCTCGCAAATGCCCCTCGCTAATCCTTTGGGACTGGCTGTAATTCTTCACCCAGAGCGCCGGCTCCCAGCAGATGTACCCTCCTCCGGCCTCCATCGTCAATCGAAGATAAACATCGACGACCTATTGGAACGATCTGATTATGTAGGTCAACAAAGTGATAACTGGGCCGATCAATAGTCATCCACAACCCAATAGATTATTCTACAAGTAGCTAAGGAACCAATGTCAGCACAGGGCGACGCACGTGACCAAAGGACACTCACACACAAGGGATGGTTACAGAGGCCAGGGATGAGAAGAGTTGATGGCTGAAATACATCGATAGAACCTTCCCCTCGGATACAGCAAAGGGTACTTCAAAAACGGTCCACGTTTCACCTTTGTTGAACTCACAATTTTCAAAAATTACACAAGTTATAAATTAAGCGTAAACGTACTTCTATTGTAGCACCGCAAGTTCTATTCCGTAACGACGGGAACGAAACAGTAAATTGCGAAAAATGATTTTTAAAGCAGATAGCTAGCAGCCCGGAGGAGAGATCGGGACAAAATCGAAAATCCACACGATACAAGTTAGGAAACTAAATAGCACGAGAATATCTGTGCTGTTCTGTAGCACCACTAGTTTACTTTTCCGTATACATACAAATATTCGGAGTAATATACGTAGTAAGGGGAACGTTATGTAATTCTGTGGAAAATCGAATACACGTTTTGGGGTCCCCTGATACCGAAAAAGTGTTTCTTTCAAAACGTTCGTCCGTGATCACCACTAGCGCCTAAATCATAATTAGGATATTTTCCAACATGAAGAAATCCTTGTCGATCTGGGATGAGTCGAAGCTTTGAAAATTTGAAAAACATACTTAAAAATTTGGGGGGTATTTTACAAGAAGACCCTCCGACATTTTCAACATTTTCTCAAAAACTGCATTATTTTTTTCTTTAAGTTCTTGTAAAAATATACTAAAATATACTTATAAAGGTGGTATAGGTCCAATTTTCGGGTTTAGCTAAGTTTTCGAAAATTTTGAAATTTTTTGTTCGTTTGCCCACAACTACAAAGTTTAAGATAGAGAATTTTGCTTCAAATAAAATTTGTTCTTCATAGTAAATTCTTTCATTAAGAACCTGCAATTTTTTTGGAAATTGTAGTGGTTTTCGCGCAATGTAGCATACAATCAGTACAATTTTAAAAAATTGCAAAAACAAGATTTTCTCAAAAACGGCTTCAATTTTTTCTTTAAACTTTTGGTAGGGATAGTGCACCGGTCGGCACCGTTGTGCTGTGCCCGACGCCCCCAACGGTTCCATTCGCCAGCCTTGAAGCGTCGCGACTTCGTTCTCACGACTTCGCCGTTTTAAGTAGAAAGATTACATAACTTTCTCCTCTTACCAATTAAGCGCGAGAAAGTAAATGAAAAGGAATATTTGCATTACATGAATTATGTTTGTGATGGCGGAGAATGTAGGTAAAGCTGAGATATGTCTAAACAGAGTGGCTCTATTACGCTTCTTAAAATTAAGCGCGATTATTCGATTAGAATATAGCTGCTACTCATGCAACCCAATGCTTTATGAAAATGATACACTGTCTCGCAGAACTCGTAAGAAAGATTGATGATTGTTAGATTTTTTCTAACAGCAGAATTAAGATTCAAACGAATGTTAGATTTGTTCTATTATCAGAATTAGCAGCGAATTATTTGTTATTAGGATGTAAGATGCGACGTGATAATATTACTTGTCCGTTTTCAATGTGTCCGTATGTGTTGTTGGAGCACCATTAGTTTCTTTTAAGAAGATGGCATTGAGAAAATTACCCACAGTCTATAACCCAAAAAACAGGCTCGGCTAAAGCCTATGTTCATGAAATTCAACCGCGTCTATTATTCATTGTTTATTTATGTATTATACTGTAACATCAATCCTGATTTGCAGGATGTTTAGATACGCAGTTTTGATTGCTACTGACTCTTTGGGTTGAATCCCACGTCGAGGAGGTTTCCGATGAGGGGCAGCGGCCGCGGCCCCGGGATCTGCTCTCCGCAGCGTCGCAGCCTCTGGCGTGCTTCAGCGCCGCGGGCCCACACGACGGCTGCCAGCAGCACCAGCAGCGGCAACAGCACCAGTGCCAACGTCGACGCCGCCGATTCCAGCATTATCGTAGCGGAGCAGTCCTGCCGAAGAAATAAGGCCCTTTATGCTTTTATTACCGTCGATTTGAGTTATTAATGGAACGTGTTTATTTGTTAAAAATGTGTAAACATAACTTCGTACTTACCTTACTTCTAACATCAAACAAAAATAAAAACAATTCAATTAATGTTGTAAACAAAATTTCTATAAATGTTTATTTAGTTTTATAGAGTATATTCTTCGAACATATCTCTAAGTATATGTTCTTCATATAAATGTAGGCATGTATACTATGTAGGGCAAGTGTGTGTTCGTGTTATGTGTGAACGTGAGTGAGCATTCATGTATAAGAATGTGTATGTAATGTATGTATGTATATATATATATATATATATATATATATATATATATATATACACACATATATGTATGTATACACATATATGTATATATATGTATATATATACGTATATATGTATGTGTGTATATATGTGCTATAGATGTATACAGCTGTGTATATTTATATATTGAGTGTATATACTCGAAAGGATTGTATTGTAAATTGTTTTTGAATTGTCAGTGTACATGTATTTTAAAACTGAAGTGTTATGGCTACCACGTGGCAATCAGCTAATTGTAGCCAAATAAATATTATTATTATTATTATTATTATTATTATTATTATAACAATTCACACTTCCTTAGAAACATTTGAAGTAGTTATTCAATTTATCTTGACACTTAGCATTTTTCTTTCCTTGATAGTCACAAAAATATTAGGAAAGGTTTTTACTGTTGAGAAAGCCAAGTAAAGTTTTCCATGCGAAAATTAAGAATCGGCAAGTACTACCCTACGCTTTGCAATATTATTTAACTTTCCTGGATTTGCTATGAGGAACAGAGGGGTTTTGAAGGGGCAGGGCGCCAACTTCTTGGAGTAAAAAAATTGAAAAATTATTTGTCTACTAAAAATTATTGGATTATTTTCAGCGTTCTTATATTCCTCAAGAAAATGAACTTCACTCCAAAAAATATTAAAACTAATATTTTCACCTTTTAGTTGTAAATATCATTTGTTACCATTAGAAACAATTCATAAGGCTTAGACTTCACTTCAGGTATGTTGCTGCACATTGATGTACAGACATTCAAATACTGCCATCATTTAAATTGTGCGTCTGGATTGTAATTGTCAGTTGTCGAGTGACTTGCGTTATTCTTTCTATAATTTTAAATTTGGTTGCTTTTTTAAATTAATTCAAGTAGTTCTGTGGGTTAGTGCGTTTTAATTTTTGATATTCATTTATTTCAATCTACTATGCTTAAGTTAATTTTAAAAGTTTGTTCTTTGTGTTGTGCCAAGGCATAAGTTTTCCCTACCTCCGCATACCTGTGCGAGAACTCTCACATCTTAAACCCCACACTCTTCCCTATCTTTCTATTTCCATTCTAAGAGGGAAATTTATTAACGAAACGTATTTATTTGTTTAAAAATGTATAAAGGTAACTCCATTGTACTACACAATATCAAATAAAAAAATGCAATTGACGTTGAAAAGAAATTTTCAATAATGATTTATTTGGTGTTATCAAGAGAGTTCTTGGAACAATTCACAACCCTCCTTAAAAATATTTGAAGTTAATTCTATACTCTTTCACAGTTAGCTTTTCGCTGTTCGTGATAGTCACAAAAAATATTTTTAAAAACCTTTTTACTCTTGAGAAAGCTACGTAACTGAAACCGCTGAGATGAAAGTTACACCGAATCACTGCGAAAATACTGGTACAGGTAAAACACAAACCAAACCTAACACGACACGTCTTCACTCTTCACTGAACACCAACATCCCTCCACAATTAAGTACATAGCACTTGTACACCTCAGCAACTCATGAATGTTTTCACAGCACAAGAAATAATCATCATCGAAATCACGGTACTTTTAGTTGTTTCTGCTGCGGGAGCGAATCTTGAATGAATAATTATGCAAATGAACCTCGTCAGTCTGCACAAACTAACGGTGTACACAGAATGCGTAAATAGTATAAGATAGAGGAATCTAAGCCTTCTAAGCGAAATGTCACAAAGATGGCCACCATCAGCAACGGTTAAAATAAGGGTGGTATTGATGGTTTCGATAAGTGACGAACCAGCAACCGTTTAACAGAATGTCCAAGAATAACGCATCCTGTAGATTACGGTGTGAGAAACGTTTCTTAGAGGCACGTGGTCTCAAAATTTTAGTGTTTAAAGTCTAGAACGCTTTGTTTAAGATTCATATAACGAAATATGTTACTGAGTACTGCGGGTTGCATGTGACATAAATATTTGGATGCGTTTCTTACACAAATCCGTCATATTTTTTAAGTCAAAGTGCAATTCGTCACGTCTCCGTAAAATTTTGTTTCATTAGAGACCTCATTTATAAAGATAGGTTGCGTGTGAGAAACACAAAATGTATGTATACTACTGAAATAATATAGGAGACTATTTCTCCGACATCCACTTCATATTTTATATATGATTTTGACACAATTTCCTAGGTGTATGATCACTTCCTGCACAAAATACGTGATGTTGCTACGTCATAGCAACCATCAATAGCAGTAGTTACACCGAAGCAGTTACTACTCAGCAGTTAGCCTCAATCTGGTGTGGAACAACGAAGCGCGAAATTGTAAGTAATTCCAGTGGAACTTCACATTGATGGATAAGCCCATTGTGTCCGTCGTGAATCATACGTAATCCGTCTCTTCAGTGAAGTGCATGCAGCCAACATCAGATAGCGCTGGATTTTGCTTTTGGCAAGGTAAAGATTGGTACGTACGCCGTATAATTTTATTTTACAGCTCCGTTTCTGCTCTGCCACTCTCTCGATGGGCACATTTTATTAGCTGCAGAGCCGGGCTCGCTTTCAGGGTCTAAGTTCAAGTTGAACAGGTGTTTTCTTTTCATGTGGCCTTCAGTCTGTCGGGAACTACAGATTGTTTGTTGCATGTCGTCCTAATCGTTGCTTTTCTTCAGGTTTCGTTCAAAGCAGTACTTGACGTTTGGTCGGAATAATACTCATGTTCTAAGTCAGGCGTGCCAAAATGCACCCGCATGACCTTTTGGCTCTTTTGGGGAGCCTAGCTCTTCTTCGGACACGGGCCATTTCCCCTGATTCTGTTCCTATTTCCCCTCCAAATACACGCGCAGGCTGTAGTGAATGGGGTAGCAGGCAGTAGCAAAATATCATTCATACGAAAACCTGTTTACCGGATGTTTCCCATCAAATATTCGAGGTTTGAATTCTGTTCTTATAATGTATTACCTGCTTCATCATTTCATGTTCATTTTCGTTTTAATTTCTTGTATACGTACGAGTATAAACAGAGTAATAATAATAATAATAGTATGGAAATAGATATGTAATGCTATGTAAAATATGCTATGAAAAATATGAAGTACGAGAGTTCTACCAAAGAAGAGGACGTGTACAGAACTTTCAACATAAAAACTTTCACGTGAGATACGATTTGGTGGGAGTCACAAAAATAAGCAGGAGTAAATTTGCATTTATGTTTTTCTAATCTCATTGTTATATAATCTCACTGACATTTGATGGTCACAGCTAGTTGCATAATGATACCCATCATGATACAGATTTCATTACGATGCATATTCTTGATTAATTATAAATACGTTTACAAATTAAGCATTGACACTTAATCATTTAGAATCGTTCTAGTAGATGTTTCATTCGATTGTGTACATTAATTAATATTTACAATTCCTGCCTCAGAATAGGGTATCCTTCTCTGAATATTGGAAGCATGGCACAGTTATTCCTATTGTCAAACCCAATAAAAATCATGCAGATACTAATAGCTACCGAACCATAAGTTTACTACCAACCGTATCCAAAATATTTGATTATAAAATATTCACATTAACAAACATCTATGTACTTCATTTTTTTTAATTCCAAACAGTATCAGGTTTCATCGACATAACAAAGGCGTTTGATAGGACGTGGCATCAAGGATTCATGTGTAAAAGCAAGGCACACCGCATTATATTACATCAATAATTCAAAGTTTAATCGGTAATAGAACCTTCTCAGTAAATGTAAACAACCACCATTTCAACCGAAGACCAGTCTTATCAGGATTACCACAAGAATAACCCCTATCACCTACCTGATTTAATTTGTATGTTGCAGACATTCCCAAACTAAACGACATCCACACTGCACAGTTTTCTGACTACACACCCTTTTATAACACCGGTTTTTCACTTACCGAGTGTAGCAACAAATATATATTAATCAATTATATACTAACCTAACTGATAGCTGGGCTTCAAAATACAAAATTCAACTTAATACATCCGAAACGGCCACCAAGATCTTCGTACTCCGACCACACTCACCTCCGCGTCTGCTGATGCCAAACAATACAATAATCAACTAACTCTCTCCCAATAAACCAATCAGATACCTAGGACAAAACATTGACACAAAACTCAATTCGAAGCAGCATATAGACGCCTAAGTTTCTCAAGCCAGAATAAAGATAACACAATAAGAGCCATTAATACCTTGATCTAGCCCAGTACCATAAAATTCAGCATTGCAAATATACAAAGCAATAAGAAGACCTACTCTTCTAGACGCCCGCCCAGTTTGGTAAAATAAAAATAATCATTTCAAACGCTCCCCGGTATGTCAACTAACAAAGAAGTAACCAAAGAATTCGAACTAGAGACTAGAGACCATCATATCAACTATTTAGCTACCAATTTCTTCTCAAACATATCCCAAATTATCTTCACTATCAGTTTACAGACTCTGCACAAAAAACAAACAAACAAAAAACAACAACAACAAAGAGCCAGAATACAAAATAAGTTTCTCTTCATGTTTTCTCCAAGAAATTCTTCGAACTATACGATTCCGACAAGAGGAGCCCCATGGGCTACCTCAACTATTGTGATCGTTTTAAGTTTTAATTTAAGTTAGCTAGTAAGCCATTTAATACACGTATAGTTAATTTAAATT